TAGGACTGCAAGGCGACTGCATTGCAGCAGGAACGTTTCGAAGTGAGACTCCAGCAAACAACTGAAGTGGAATTCGTAGGCCCACTTGGAGACTATCGGTCCCATTCTAAGCAGAATCATCCCCTTCTCATTTTATTTATAGTCATTGGGCTTAGGAAGGCATGAATTGGTTTAGGATGGCATTCTTGGGCTCGATAAGGACTGTGGAAGAACTGCTCATTGTGGAATAGGTTTCCCAGCTCACTGTGGAATAGGTTTCCCAGCTCCAGGTTGGGAAATTCCTGGAGATTTGGGGGTGGAGCCTGGAAAGATCAGGGTTTGGGGAGGAAAGGGACCTTGGTAGGATCTAACACCATAGAATCTACCTTCCCTGGAGGAACTGGTTGGCCACTGTGTGAGACAGGATGCTGGACTAGATGGACCCTCACTGGTCTGATCCAGCAGGGCTCTTCTGAGGTTTTTGCCAGGGAAAGGCCTTGGCCTCTCTGCCCTGTTGTTGATCCTCCAGAGAAGGTGGCTGGCCACTGTGTGAGGCAGGATGCTGGACTAGATGTACCCCTGGTCTGATACAGCAGGGCTCTTCTAATGTTCTTATGAGGGGAAGGCCTCAGCCTCTCTGCCCTATTGATGGCCACCCAGAGGAACTGGTTGGCCACTGTGTGAGACAGGATGCTGGACTACATGGACCAATGGTCTGATCCAGCAGGGGTCTTCCGATGTTCTTCTCAGGGGAAGGCCTCAGCCTCTCTGCCCTCTTGTTGGACCTCCAGAGGAACTGGTTGGCCACTGTGTGAGACAGGAGGCTGGACTAGATGGACCCTCACTGGTCTGATCCAGCAGGGCTCTTCTTATGTTCTTATCGGGGGAGGCCTCGGCCTCTCTGCCCTGTTGTTGGACCTCCAGAGGAACTGGCTGGCCCCTGTGTAAGACAGGATGCTGGACTAGGTGGACCCTCCCTGGTTTGATCCAGCAGGGCTCTTCTGAGGTTCTTATCAGGGGAAGGCCTCAGCCTCTCTGCCCTGTTGTTGGCCCTCCAGAGGACCTGGCTGGCCCCTGTGAGAGACAGGATGCTGGACTAGAGGGACCCTCACTGGGCTGATCCAGCAGGCCTCCTCATAAGTGCTTATCTCCATCATCTAGAAATCAATAGTCATTCCAAAAGATCTGCAGGCCCCACCTGGAGGCTGGCAACCCAACTTCACAAAGTTCCTCTTTGGGGATTTTTGTTCACTGTTCCAATTTGTCCCACTTTGCTAATTCATTAATGGTTGGGAGTGGTCCACACCGTTGGATTCTTTTGTCTTTGGTCTAGATCTCATTTTCATCTGTTCTCTTTATCATGTAACCCATTCCTCCGTTTAGATTATGGAGAGCGAGGAGAAGAAGCGCACATGCTATTTCTTAACGTCTGCCTTTCAGACAAGCGTCCTCCTAAATTTTCGGTCGGACGCAACAAGCTCAGTTCAGACTGTTTTATGGAGCCTCTCTGTCAAAGAGTTCTGAAGTTTCGTTGGCAGCTAAAGGACAGGAAAGCAGATTGCCGGGAGAATATCAGCCGCGCATCGACCTGTGGGGAGGGAGGCGCGAGAGGCATCTCTGTGTGTCCACATGGCACGATGTAGCAGACGTCAGTGCGCAGCCTTGCCCCATTGGGTGACCAGAGGCACAGAAGAATACCAGGAGGGGTATAAGTACCCCGAGCAAAGGACCTGATCATCTGCGGGCTCTTGAGACGGAGAAGAGCAAAAGAAAGGCCACCAAGTCACGGTGAGTATCCTTTTATCGAGCTTTATAATTTGTGAGCAAACATTGTGCTATTTCCAAATGTGAATGCTATTTTTCCAACCCGCGTTGCTGGGAGAGTACGTTGTCTGAAGATGTTATTGCCGATATGTTTACTGTGCATTACTATATCCCCCAGGATTGCGAGTCTTATGATATGCATGCAAAGTTCTTCCCGTGTGCGCAGATGAAACTGACAGCGTATTTCCCCCATGGGAGGCTTAGGGAAACAATATTGGAAACCTTTATCCCAGGATATTTGCCCCCTTTTTTTGCCTTGTTAGGGTTGCAGTTCCCCTCGGTAGTCAGTTAGTTTTTAATGATTTCTATAGAATTATTTCGAGCTAGTCCTTCGGGCGGCTTGAAACATTAACCGATCCTACCCAGAGGTTCGTCTCCGGGTCAGGAATGAGTTTGCTCCGTAGTGTTTCAAGGGTTTTTTTCTCATTTTCCTGCTCCTAATCCAGCAGCTGATATTGAGCCGCGGATGCCAGATCAATGCTTGCCTGGCAAAACAGGGAATGCCGGCAGCACTTAGAAGAGGGTTGTCATTTCTTTCTCGTCACTTTAGTGCCAAATATATAGGTGGCGCTTGGCCAAGAAACATAAAATTGGGCCTCTGTCCTGAGGAGCTTACAGTCTAAGTCTAAAGGGAGGGGAGGGGGAGAAAGGAGAGGGATGAGAGAAACAATGGATGCATTGCGATCGAGTGCGGTTTCACGTACAGGCTACCTGGAACTGGTTCTCCTTGCAGAAGGGAGCAGTGTTTGAGATGACGAGATACATTTTTCTCCCCCCCCCCCAAAAATACCAGAACTCGAAGGCATCCATTGAAGCTAATGGGCAGTAGGTTCAGGACAGACAGAAGGAAATACACAATGCCGGAGTAGATAGACCCTCACTGCTCTGATCCAGCAGGGCTCTTCTGGTGTTCTTATTGTCAAGCACTTTCCTGTTTGTACAAAAGCCAGTTCCCCAGATGTCTTCTAAAGTTTCGAGCAAGGGGTGTGTCCTTCGCGCACACTGGAGAATCCCATCTGACTGGCATGCTGGCAATGGGTCTCCCCTTTCTCTGGATTCACTCAAGAGGAGTTAGTGACACTTCCTTAGTTGTATTTTTTTTTTAAACGCTGAGCTCCTCTAGGCAAAAAACCCCAGAAACATATTTCTAAAACCTGTGCATACAAAGCAAGGCTCTCGAAATTCCACCCCACCTCTGGCACTTCATACCATCGCCAAAGATTCTGATTTGCTCCTTCCTTCCTTCCTTCCTTCCTTCCTTCCTTCCTTCCTTCCTTCCTTCCTTCCTTCCTTCCTTCCTGCCTGCCTCTCCCTCCCCCCAAATACCAGAACCCGTCCATTGAAGCTAATGGGCAGTAGGTTCAGGACAGACAGAAGGAAATACACAATGCCGGAGTAGATAGACCCTCACTGCTCTGATCCAGCAGGGCTCTTCTGGTGTTCTTATTGTCAAGCACTTTCCTGTTTGTACAAAAGCCAGTTCCCCAGATGTCTTCTAAAGTTTCGAGCAAGGGGTGTGTCCTTCGCGCACACTGGAGAATCCCATCTGACTGGCATGCTGGCAATGGGTCTCCCCTTTCTCTGGATTCACTCAAGAGGAGTTAGTGACACTTCCTTAGTTGTATTTTTTTTTTAAACGCTGAGCTCCTCTAGGCAAAAAACCCCAGAAACATATTTCTAAAACCTGTGCATACAAAGCAAGGCTCTCGAAATTCCACCCCACCTCTGGCACTTCATACCATCGCCAAAGATTCTGATTTGCTCCTTCCTTCCTTCCTTCCTTCCTTCCTTCCTTCCAGATATCAAGACTCTCCACTCTTCCGGACGACAGCATGGCGTGTCAGAGGTCCCTCCTGCTCCTCCTCTGCGTGATGATCGCCCTCACCATCCACTTGTCCAAAGCTCAGCACTGGTCCCACGGCTGGTACCCTGGAGGGAAGAGGGAGATCGACCTGCCCCAGAGTCCAGAGGTATCCTGGGGCTGGCTGTACTGCTTGTCCAATTGTGCACACCCAACGAGCCACATGAAAACCACTTTTCTCCCTTCTGAATTCAGGCCTCCGAAGACATCAAACTCTGCGATGGGGAAGACTGCACTTACCTGAAGATCCCGAGAGATAAAATTGTGACCACTCTCCTGGTAAGCCGTAGCTCAGTGGCAGGGCATCTGCTTGGCACGCAGAAGGTCCCAGGCTCAATCCCCGGCATCTCCAGTTAAAAAGGATCAGGCAGGAGGTGATGGGAAAGACCTCTCTACCTGAAACCCTGGAGAGCGGTAAAGAGGGGGCTGTGGCTCAGTGGTAGAGCATCTGCTTGGCATGCAGAAGGTCCCAGGTTCAATCCCCGGCATCTCCAGTTAAAAAGGACCAGGCAGGAGGTGATGGGAAAGACCTCCGCCTGAGACCTTGGAGAGCTGTAAAGAGGGGGCTGTGGCTCAGTGGCAGAGCGTCTGCTTGGCAGGCAGAAGGCCCCAGGGTCAATTCCTGGCCGCTCCAATTAAAAGGACCAGGCAGTAGGTGACGTGAAAGACCTCTCTGCCTGAGACCCTGGAGAACTGCAAAGAGGGGGCTGTGGCTCAGTGGTAGAGCATCTGCTTGGCATGCAGAAGGCCCCAGGTTCAATCCCTGGCAGCTCCAATTAAAAGGACCAGGCAGTAGGTGACGTGAAAGACCTCTCTGCCTGAGACCCTGGAGAGCGGTAAAGAGGGAATCAATATATGAAGATACAAGTACATATTAGTAGAAGTGTGTTTTGTTCTATCACGGTGTTTCTTTATGTTTGCCCACCTGGAGGTAGGCATTCGTTTTCAAGAGCCAAAGCACTCTTCGTCAGACCCAAGGGAGCTTTGACTCTCAAAATCTTACCCCCTGAAATTCTTGTGGATCTCCAAGGTCTTACTGGACTTGTATCTAACAGTTCTGTTGCCGGCCAACATGGCTACCCTCTGTGCCTGGATCACAAGATTTATATAATCTAGTTCATAGGCGTAAGATTGGACAAACAGTTGGTGGTGGTGGTGTTAACTGAACTTGTTGATCACCCTATCCCAGCTTACCTCAGGCTCTGGGCGATGTCCATGGAGGCATCACGCCACAAAAACAAATAAAACATTAAGAACATAAGAGAAGCCAGTGTTGGATCAGGCCAGTGGCCCATCCAGTCCAACACTCTGTCACACAGGGGCCAAAAATATCAGGGGCCACCAGAAGGTCCAGCAGTGGTGCCAGGACACCAGAAGCCCTCCCACTCTTGCCCCCCCCAAGCACCAAGAAGACAGAGCATCCCTTGCCCCAGAGCCCCTATCTATACCTTGTGGCTAATCGCCACTGATGGACCTCTGCTCCATGTGCTTATCTAATCCCCTCTTGAAGCCGTCCATGCCTGTAGCTGCCACCACCTCCTGTGGCAGTGAATTCCATGTGTTAATCACTCTTTGGGTGAAGAAGGACTTCCTTTTATCTGTTCTAACCCGACTGCTCAGCAATTTCATGGAGTGCCCACAAGGAGTTCTTGTCCTGCGAGAAAGGGAGAGAAAAGTACCTCTTTCTCTACCTGCTCTATCCCATGCATAATCTTGTAAACCTCAATCATTAAAATGCCACTAAACAATTAGTGCCACTAAACAATTAAAATGCCACTAAACCATTTAATAAAACTAAAGACCCAAATAGAGTTCATGATGATGACGTCTGGAAATTTCTACCCCCAACTCTAGACCACCGGCCCAGTTTCTGGGCAGGGGGAGAGGGAACTCATAACAGCAATTGGGGGGCAGGGAGAGGGGTGCTAGACAAGGAAAAACCATTGCTCCCCTCAACCAAAAGCCTGGCAGAACATCTCGGTCTTACAGGCCTTGCAGAAGAAGACAAGAGATTGGATTCATACCCCGCCCTTCACTACGCAAAGGTGTCTCAGAGCGGTTTACAAACTCCTTTCCCTTCCCCTCCCCACCACAGACACCCTGTGAGGTAAAAGAAGAAGAAGAAGAGATAAGATTTAGTACCTCGCCCTTCACTACCCAAAGGAGTCTCAGAGCAGCTCACAAACTCCTTTCCCTTCCCCTCCCCACAACAGACACCCTGTGAGGTAAAAGAAGAAGAAGAGATTGGATTTATAACCCACCCTTCACTACCCAAAGGAGTCTCAGAG